CTTGACGGCGTGGGTGCTGCGCTTTTCCTCAAACTGCCGAATCCCAGCCACGCAGAGACAGTATGGTCAGCTGACGGTCGAGGAAGTCGAAGACAGCCTCCAGGCCATTATTCGGTCAAGCCAGAAGGACGCCTTTGCTGAATATTCGTCACTGCAGAAGGGCAAACCATTACCGGCAACCAGTCCACTGAGCAGCCTGACCCCGTTCTTGGATGAAGTTGGTGTGATGAGAATGACAGGACGGCTCCAAGAGGCACAGTATCTCAGTCAAGACGCCAAGCACCCGATCATCTTGCCGCGGTCTTGCTGGATAACACAGCTAGTGATCAGAGACCAGCATGAGGCAGACCATCACGTCGCAGGTACAGCTCACACTATGGCAGTCCTCATGAGGAAATATTGGATCGTGGCGATTCGAGAAGCCATCCGGGAGTACGAACGTTCCTGTGTGAAATGTCAATTTCGTAAAGCACAACCAGCCACGCAGATCATGGCACCATTGCCCAAGATCCGGTTGAAGGAGCCTCTCCACGCTTTCAGTCGCGTGGCCGTCGACTTTGCTGGACCATTCGCAACAGTACAGGGTCGAGGGCAACGACGAGCTAAGCGGTACTTGTGCGTCTTCACCTGCTGTCTTTGTCGTGCTGTGCATCTGGAAATGGCCACAGGTTTGGATACCGACAGCTTTCTGAACGCCTTTCAACGAATGTGCAACCGCCGAGGTGTTCCTGCTGAAGTGCTCTCGGACAATGGTACGAACTTCGTCGGGGCTAATCGTGAGCTATCGGAGATCTTCACCGAGCAGGAGCAACACGTCCTGGAGCACAGCGCTACCATGAAGAGGATCAAGTGGCATTTCATCCCTGCCCAGACACCACACTTTGGAGGCGTTCACGAAAGTATGGTAAAAGCAGCAAAGAAGGCTATTTACCATGTTCTACAGCAGGCATCAATCACCGATGAGGAGCTGCGAACAGCATTCTGCAGCGCAGAGGCGCTACTCAACTCTCGTCCAATTGTTCCTCCCTCTAGTGACAGCCGCGACGACTTGCCACTCACACCGAATCACTTCCTGGTTGGACGCATTGAGCACTATCATCTTGCCGTCGAGTCACCGTGTCTTCGGCGCCGCTGGCAACACGTCCAAATGCTTGTATCCCATGTCTGGCGAAGGTGGATGCAGGAGTGGATACCAGCCCTGAATCGTCGCTCCAAGTGGTGGAAAGAGTACCCGGATCTCAGTGTCGGTGACATCGTCCTCGTTGTGTCAGCTGATACCCCCCGTGGCAGGTGGCCTCTTGGACGGGTGTTGGAGGTCTACCCTGGTTCTGACGGCAGAGTGCGTGTCGCTAAGCTCCAGGTCGGAGGCAAGCAGGTAACCAGGTCAGTTGTACGGCTATGTCCGGTTGTGAAAGGCTGACAGTCCGTACGCACGTTTTAGATGGACTTATCGCCATCTTTAGTCAGTTCGATCTCTTTTCTCATTTTACTCATTCTTTGATACGGATGTATCAAGGAGGGGGGTATGTTGGGAAGGCCGTCGTGGCCATGTGTTTTTTATGAAGTATTTACTATTCAATATTTCTCTCAGGATGTGAAATATGAAATGTCTCAGAAATTCAGTTTATTTTGGAACGCAATTTCGCGTACATGTAGTGATTTAGCCTACAGTTAGTTCACGAGTTATTTCGTAGGTGTGTTTGTTTCTTGCGTTGCACAGTGCAAGACAAGAATTTGCACAACTGCACAAGAGTATTGACGTTGACTCTCAAAATGATTCTTGGTCGCATTTTGTTTGTTTCTTCTAAGTTTTGACAAAGCTAAAGGGACATTCTATTTTCGTTTTGTCTTTTCTCGCAGTGTTTCCTTTCATTTCTAAGCCGCGACGCCGTCGCGTACTGCGGTACGACGGGTCACGCGCTGCCAACCTACTGCATTCTTTATTCACCAGTTTTCACGGCTACACTGCATGCATTGTATAATGACTCATAATTATGTTTTGCGCTGCGCTGGCTTTTTCAGAGTTTGGTTTTTCGATGAGGCTCGGCAAGCAATGAGTTCGGTTCTTCGAAAGGAAGAGAAAGAGTTGTCTTTTTGTTGTTTGCGAAATATCTATTTTACTACCACGAAGTGTTCCCGTTGCGTGTGAGAACCTGCATGACAATGCTACTCATGCCATTTTGGCTTGGTGAGAGTTGGCACCAACTCGGGGTGCTACTGACTCGGGGAGGGCGCTAAGTTATAAAATTGCAGAGGTAGAACTTTGATTCGTGTCGGAACTTTGACACCAGCTCTGTGCGCTTGTTGAGGGACGTTTCCTTGTCTGCATTGCTGATGTATAGCTTCTCTGTTAGGCACAGGTCGCACCGCTATGTGGTGTTGGTGTCGGGACGCGCCCTGCATCGGATCGACCAGTCGACTATTGTCATTACATGTCTCCCCTCGTCAGTACGACATCAACTACTAGACAAACCTCATTAGTAGACAACAATCAAAAATCCCCAGACTCCTGAAGTGTGTACATTCACGACAGGATAGTAGATAATACTGGTTATAAGACAAGAATTTGAAACTAGCGGGGTTATTTACTAACGACGGTAGACCTGTATATGTACTAAGATGAGCCATACCAAGGCAAGCATGTTGGCTTTAGCCTACTCTAGATTACCTGATCTCTTGTCAAATAATAACAAGCATACTCAGGGCCTGCTGGAGAGCCGGGTCAGCCGGGTCACGCGCCCGGCTGGGGAACTGCACGACCTGGCTGAACAGATACCACCGGGTCCAGTCTGACCTGGCTGAAAAATGTCCCAAACTGACAATGGATTCCTAAAATACCGGTATTTTACGACTCGCGGACCCCATCTGTTGCAAATCTAGCGCAATCGTACACACTACAGTCTACAAGCGACAGAAACTCGGCTAGGGTCAACTGGTTCGAGCGCGATCTGGCCAGCGGCAAGCAGGAAGTCAGGACATTCAAAGTCGATGGGGACAGGCAGTCAAAAGCGGCGCGAAGAGAAAAAGAACTCACGCTTTGTCGTTTACCTTCAACGTTTGCGGACGTTGATAGTTCGCCTTGTTCTCTAAAATTTCCGATTTCCGGTAATAAATTCGCCTTTCTGTTTTCCTGCGTTTTAGGTAGGTAGGTACATGTTTATTTGAATTCGCAGAACCAAACGGGCGGTGTCGCCCAATTACATGGAAGCGAATGGAAACAGTAAAATATTGTAGGAAATGGCCTAACATGATAGCAGGGTGTAGTACAAAGCAAAGAACGCTCAGTCAATGAATAACGTTAAAGGGGAAGTATACCCTAAAATCAAATTTTCACCAGTTGTAGTCTTCTGGGTGCTGAGTCGAATGGTCTTGGTCCGAGGAAGCTGCGACGCTCCCTTCCTACTTGAATCCCAATCGAACTCGCGCACTTCCACCGAAACTGGGTGACTGCGCCCTACGAGATGGGGATTTGTATGCAAAATGTCACTAAAAGCGCCATTTCGTTCTTATAAAAGCACGGATCACCGCGATTGGCCCATATGTTGTAGTCTTTTGGACGCTGAGTCGACTGGTTTTGGTCCGAAAAGGCTGCGATGCAGCGTTCCTCCTTTATTCCCAATCGAACATGGTTGAACAAGCGGTCACGTGCTCCTGGGTGCCCAAATCACCTGGTCACCGCGCCAGCAGGCGACAACTTTCACACCAAGGTTCAACTCGGGTTCAACTCGAGTGACAGGACTGTACCCAAAAAAGGTCAAACAGGCTAGTAAGTTGTACCCTGCAGGCACGGTGACCAGCTGACTGGTGTACGCAGGAGCACGTGACCGCTTGTTCAACCATGTTCGATTGGGAATAAAGGAGGAACGCTGCATCGCAGCCTTTTCGGACCAAAACCAGTCGACTCAGCGTCCAAAAGACTACAACATATGGGCCAATCGCGGTGATCCGTGCTTTTATAAGAACGAAATGGCGCTTTTAGTGACATTTTGCATACAAATCCCCATCTAGTAGGGCGCAGTCACCCAGTTTTGGTGGAAGTGCGCGAGTTCGATTGGGATTCAAGTAGGAAGGGAGCGTCGCAGCTTCCTCGGACCAAGACCATTCGACTCAGCACCCAGAAGACTACAACTGGTGAAAATTTGATTTTAGGGTATACTTCCCCTTTAACGTTTTAATACAACAACGGGCAGGCGGTAAACAGCACATGACTGGTACTGTGGAGTACCGCAAACGTTCAAAGATTCCTGTAGTGTTCAGTAGTGGGTGCTACTGCTAGCAAGACAGAACGGGAGGCAGGCTTGTTTGAACTGGTGGTACTGGGTAATACCACGCATGTCGGATGGCAGGGTTTTGAGCAGGCTTTTTGGTTGTTTTTCTGCTGGATGATCTGACCCGGCTTGACCCGGCTGGCCTGCATGCGCCAGGTACACTCTGACCGGGCTGTGTTGAATGTTTAGAGCAGGCTCTGCATACATGTACAATTTCATGCCTTTGTGCTATAAAAGGCCATGTCCATGATTAGGCCCATCACTGCCCTAGCCAGATAAGCCCACGCTTCTATCGACGAATTCTACAGTCAGTGATGTTGTTGCAAAGCAGCCCACGATATCTGTTTGAGTACACACACAGAATCAATAGTATTGTCTTTGGGGTTGGTAAAATAGTCTTTTGGCATCCCTGAAACGAAGATCGTTCATTTGAGGGCAAGTGGTTTCAGCTAAAATCTCAAGTCGACTGACAATGTTCATACATATTAATTAACATGCAATTTTCGTCGTCCAGCATAGCAAGCTGCGTTCATTTCAGAGGGTGGGGAGGGGATCCGAGTACAAAATGAACCATGTTCGTTTAAAGGACGACTAAAAACTATTACTCTGATCAATGTGATAGAAAACAACTGCTGAGATTGCTCAGTCCATTGTGTGTGGAAATCCTGAGCAGAATTTATCACACGCATACATAGAGTACGTCACTTGATGCTAGCAGAGAGGGGCACTTACAAGACACACAGATTGTGGGACGTGCTGTGGTGCAGGAGCCTTGACCTACTGTGTTGGTTGATGGTTGGTAGGTAGTGCAAAGAGACCCACTCATGACATTGGTGTATACCGGTATGTAGCTGAGGTTGTTGTCATTCAAGACTTGCGATGTGTTCAGCAGTTTTGAGGCACAGCTGAGTTGCTGTATGTCTGTAGACAATGGACGACCACCATATTGTTGATAGCACGTCTGGTTTGCATGATCTGCTGAGAATGAGATGCTATGGTATGTATACATGTGTGAGTCACACACTATAGAAGCTGCTTGTGTATCTACAGCCACAAACAACAGTAGAACGGATATACAATCATGTCGTCTCAGACACTGCCATACTTTACGCAGAGTTAGGGTTTCTGCCAAGAGCTTTGTATAACACTTGTTTATACCTGAGACACTTTATAAAACCCGCTATACCTACTTAAGTACAGAACTGGGGAAGCCAAGCAAAAACGAACTGTCGCAAACCGAAAGTCATTATCCTCCAGCTGAGTCTAACGCGAGCCGTGACCTTTTTTTGGTGGACTGTTCTTTCATAACTCATAACTTACTGGTTCTTTCTCTTTACTTACAATATTGGCTTAACATTCGAGTCTTGGCTTAATGTTTCATAGTGTCTGTCAATTTCAGAGTGACTTTCACTGTGTTGGCCATTCTACAATATCTACCTTCACTGACGAGAGTTTTGTAATCAAAACAGCTGAATGAAGAAATGCAGTACCAACAGATGTGTCGCTTTGCTGGTGGTGTGCTGTGGCAACGTCGTGTCGAGGTCGGCTGGCGAGTGCAGTTATGCTGTGGTGGTTGATGAAAATTACTTCCCCTTTACACAATTAACCCTTTCTATGTGAGCCATATTCCCCAGCAAGTTATCTGCGATTTTAGAGCAATTGTACACTTGAACTAGTTTTGCATGCACTGCCGCAACCAGCTCAATCCCGATTTCACTTCACCTTGGTGGATTTTCATGATCCATGGCTCGTTTGAAAGATCAGGATCAAATGAAGCTATCCGTAACGTTTTCAGCACAATAAGCATGTCAGGGTTACTTCCATGTCCTCTCCAAGCTGCCCTACGATGCCTCAGATTCCCACAACTTAATCTCACCCTTTCACTCACCTCCTTTCTCAAACTCAATGGATTTTCACCATTCAAAGTGCATTGGAAAGTAGAGATGCAAGCTCTCATTTCCCCACCCATCACACATATACTGGGACCATGGGAGATCAAAAGGCACCTGAAGAGCCTCCCGGTTACTTGTTGATCGCCAGGGAACACATTTTCTTGGTTCCTCTTGTTGCGGCTCGTTCAAACTTTGCCCTATTGCAAAAAAACTTGGCACTTGGCCCCTCTAAAGCCTTACTAATCTGTAGAAAGGTCATGTTCACCCGCCGCTGAAACATGCCACCTCAGCCTGGTCCTACATGTATATCCTTACCAAAGCTGAACTGGAGTGTTTAGATTATTTTATCTTGAAAGGTAGCAGGGATGTTTTTGATGAGTAAGAAAGTAACGTTAAATAGGTATGAAACAAAGTCACAATCAAATGCCCTCTGCGACCTTGAGTCCTTACATTTTTGTAGACAAATCCCCTCTTTAGTTACATTACATTGAACCTTTGCCATGTGTCTGTCTGTCTTGGAGTCCCAGAAGACCGAACAAACTGAATGTTAACCCTTTCAGGGTCACAGTGCATTTACTACGTCTGGGCAATGAGATTCAGTGCATCAGTACAATTGTGGAGATAGCAACAAACAAATTGTCACAACATTTTTGTTTCTCAACGGATTTTCACAACTTATGGCTTACTGGAAAGCTCCTTTCCTGCTCCTCATCTTCCACGTCCTTTCAGAGCATACAGCACCTCGAGGATGCCCCTAGCCTCTCCAACAGTGTTACTACCGTGCGCCAGTTTGGCATCAAGACCACGCTCAACTATTTCCTTCGGTTTGGGGCTCATACTAAACGTAGAACTACGATTACACTTCGGAGCTTCGGCTTCGAATGTGACAGTGTGTTTGGCCTCAAATCGCTCTAGTTTTCCACAAATTTCCAGCGGTTTAAAGATAAAAATGAAAATGCACACCTTGATTGCACCTAGCACCTCTTGCTTTCTTTGGCCTTTTCTTTCGCTTCTTTGCTGATAGGTTACCTTTTTCCTTTGTCTAGTATCCTCGAGACTTCAGTCTTCTACTGTCGCTATGGCAGTGTCTATTGTCTAATGATGACTCCAAAGCTGAAGCTCGCAGTCCAGGCCTAGGACTAGTAAGAGTTCCTACCGGATCGTCGAGCTGTCCGTGTAGGTAAGTGCTGCAGTAACTAGTTTGTGCCGATATGGAAATTTCGGCCTTTTCGGCGGCCAATGCTGATGTGATGCTGCGATGGTTCCGTGGGTTCGCAAGCGCCGACGAGTGCCTTGTTTCATGCCCCGAGTCACGGTTTCCCTGTTTTGGTCAGGGCGGCCTTCACGAGTTCAGCAGGCTCTGTCGAGTGCCTTGCCAACCTCTGCACCTAGCGCGTAACAACATCAACAGACGGCTTCCGACGAGTGCCTTTCCAACCTCTGTACCTACAAATAACTGGCATCCAACCCCATCGATGGACGACGCGGACATGGCGGATATGCGGCGGCTTCTGTTCGGCTTCTGTCACGCCAGTGGGCAGGCCCTGTCGCGTGCCTTGCCACACTCAAACCATCCGTCCACTGTCGATGGACGAAGGTCTCACCCGTGGGCAGGCCCTGTCGCGTGCCTTGCCACACTCAAACCATCCGTGCACTGTCGATGGACGAAGGTCTCACCCATGGGCAGGCCCTGTCGAGTGCCTTGCCAGACTCTAGCCACTTTAACCATCCATCCACTACGGATGGACGATGGTCGAACCAGTGGGCAGGCCCTGTCGCGTGCCTTGCTACACTCTAACCATCCGTCCACTGTCGATGGACGATGGTCTCTACAGTGGGCAGGCCCTGTCGCGTGCCTTGCCGCACTCTAACCACTCTATCCATCCATCAACTATCCATGGACGATGGTCTCGTGGGATTGCAAGCACCAGCGAGTGCTTTGTTTCTTGCTCCAAGTTGTGCCTTCCTTGTGTGGTCAGGCCAATTTCACGAAAAGCAGGCCCGGCCGAGTGCCTTGCCAATGTCTGTGCCTAACTCGCATCCACCCATGTTGGTGGACTGTGCGGTCATTTTAGATATGGTGGCTTCTAGTGGGCAGGCCCTGTCGAGGGCCTTGCCACACTCTAACCATTAGTCCATTGGTGATGAACGATGGTCTCCTGGGTTGGTAAGCACAGGCGAGTGCTTTGTTTCATGCCCAGAGCCACGCCCATAACGTAATGCCGTTCAACCATACTCAAAGTGTTGTTTCGCAAATACAGTTCTACCTGTGTTTGCTGGCCCTTGTACCAAGCAGAATCCCGTATTGACCGGGAAATGTTTCTGCACCAAAGGGCTGTGGATCGAATGTGCATCCCTGTGTCAAGCGGAAGAATGTCATATCAGAACAGTTTCCGCTGCGCCATGGGCGTCCGGTTAATTTACTGTATGTAGATACACGGTTCTCGAAGCATGATCACGGTGTCAGAGGTGGCTGATGCACCTCTGTGAGCATTGAAAAATAAGCATAAAATGGTTGCCATTTGTGCAGTGCCAACAATGTACTGTCACTCCTATTGCTCAAGCACCTTTTGTGATAGCAACCTCGAAGTGGTGAAGCACATAACACTTCACTGTTGCCATACCTCAGTCTGACCTTCGGTAGCTGGAGCAAGTACGGACGCGGGCACTCCAGCTATCTGCTGAGCGTAGTGCCAAGAGTGCCATGTCATGTACACTTGCCTTCATGTACGTTATGACTTGTGGTATACTGCCTTCCACTACTCAAGTTAGTGCCCACCTCGGGGACCGCGAAGGACCACCCCCCTTCTTGGTCTGGTCAGTCAATGCCTTGCACGGTTACTGCCGCATCCATAACTGGGATCAATGCATTGCCCATATAATATGTGCATATCAGCGTGGCCCTTTCCGTACAACGGCCGGTCCAAGTAACCATAATATCTGTGTTGTACTACTGTGGGTAGCATTTCATCGTACATAACGTGGAATATCTACGCACCCAGAATGGATCCACTTATATTATAGCTAGCAACCATAGCTAGCCACCAGATCAGTCTCGTACTGTTTAGTACTGATATGGCAGATACGCCGGCACTGCATGCACGTGTGCCTTGTGCCAGACCCACCGTGTACCAGGCTTTCATTACCAACAAGGGTTTGGCAGACGAGCTGAAGCAGCACCCATGCCCTGCCGTGCCAATCCCGTGATGGTGCAGCCAATGGTGCACACTACCAGCCTGCTCAGCTGTCGGTGACCTTTCACGGTTTGCCTTACTTGGTATGCTTACCAGTACATTTGCGTAAATGTACATGTATAAACTATATACAGAACAGATATACGAAGTATACACAACGCGTACAAGGAGGTCTTAGAGTTTGTTGCAACTCTGAGTTCCTTACTCAATGAAATATAGTGCTTCACATCGTGTTGAGCCCTCTACCCTGGCGAAAAGACACCTCTTTGTACACAAATGTACAGTTATATATATTATTGTACAACATGCGTAAATCATAGTCGCAATACAATTTCGTAACACTGCTTTCCTAGCGCAGAAGGAAATCAGTGAATACGTGATGTCTTCGTGTTTGCGCCGTGTAGGAAGAACTTGATGACCTACATGTACATTATTCACCCTTGTCTTGCCGTAGACGTCCTGCGCACTCCCAAGGTCCATGACCATGTTGTGCAATAGCTGAGGCAGACATACACATACCTGAGATCTACGGATATAAACTATGTCCAGTTCAAATGACCATCCAAGCAGCCATTGGCTTCGCATCCTGCGTCATCTCTACCATCGCTGAGCACCCGAATATGACGATTATGTCACCACAGGTCCCTTCAAGCTGGAGACCCGGTACGGCCACTGACGATGTGGCCAGATGGAGCCAATGTGCTATTTAACCATGAAGGACATGTGTCACTCGACCGGCATCCATCCGGTCATCCGGAAGTGGCTGGCGGTACACATGTCTATCGTTCGGCATGTGTTCTACAATTCCACACATGCACCAAGTGTCTGCATCGATCGTCTGCATTCTCCAGACATGGGCTGTGAAGGTGGTAATGTGCATTGACCACTGCCTCATTTTTGTGTGCAGTCTGGTTGCGGCACACCATAGTGCAAGCAACGATCCGCCTCCTGGAGCATCTCGGGCTCCACGTGAACCTGCACAAGTCCGGCTTGTAGCTGGTGCAGTTCCTGGAATGTATGAGGCTCACCATCTCTTCCATCACCAAGCCACTTGAGGCGCCTGCACGCAAAGCGCCGGGACGTGGGGAAGGCGTTCCCGCTAGCACAGCTTCACAGTCGATCATTACAGATTATAGTGGTTCAAGGATAGAGCTCCACAGCCTCGGCTGTGCAGCCTCGATATATGGACTGACGATTCAATTGGCACATCTCCATTACTGGGTCCGTCACTTTTCAGTCGGGGATGGCCAGCCAATCACCTCACAGGTGCCATCGCCCGTCAGTTCAGGACCCATGCACAGCAGCCAACCATAGCCACATGACTCTGCAGGAGTTAAACTCCATTCATCTACTGCTTGTGGTCTGCAAGCCCAAGTGCATGGCATAACGGGAGTACATTTGCATGTCGAGATCGATAATGTGATGGCTGTTGCTTACGTATCCAAGGAAGGAAACATTGGCTAACTATGTGTCTGTTGGCGCTACCAAGAGTACATAACTATTACTATTGGCGCGACCGCGCTGGCTCCACCTAGTCGCCGTCAATGTTCGGGACATCGCCCACGACCCGAACGACCGTCACTGTCTGCAGACAGCAGCAACTGCTTGTTGGACAGGCAGGTCCTTACACAGTTACATCATTGGTACAGCCCACTTGACCTATTTGTGGCCAGCCATAATCGCTAACTGGATCCGTATGTGAGTTAGCGCTCAGATCCTGAGGCTGAGGGCCAGGCTTCCTTGGTCCTTCCGGCAGACCAGAGCAGTGGGAGAATCCACTTCTGCACCCTCCATTCTGCCTCATCAATTGATGCCTGGTGAGCAGGGAGTGGTGCTTTCTTGCAGGTTTGCCGAGTCGAAGGTTCGATGGACTTCTCGTGTCCTCTGGATGGCAGTCGTGAGTCAGTCAAGTGTCAAGTAAAGTCGGCGGAATAGCGCGAGCTCCGGTGTGGGGAGCAAACCCTTTCTGTTCTTTTTGTTATTCTTATGATTTGTGCTCTCACATTTTAGAATTTTTGCGAGATCGTGAGGTGGTGTGTTGAGTGAAGTAGTTTAGAGTTTTTGAGGTTATCAGTTCCGACACGTGTGACAGCGATCGTGGCTGGTGTTCTGGGTGGGCGGACAGAGTTTTTTTTATATTCTGCAGTGCAGGCAGAGAGGTATTTTATTTCTGGGTGTGAATGGTGTGGTATGATGGAGTAATTGGTGTGATCTTTTCCTCTTTTTACTCTGTTTTATTATTAGAATCGAGGGCAATTCTACTCTTGGGAGGGAGTTATGTTGTAGTACGGTATTTTGTATACGTCGTGTGTACGTCATGTTGGTGCATGCGCGTGTTGCTGTGGTGTGAAAAGCAGTCTTCGTCTTGAGTTCGTCATGTCTAGTTGTGTTTCGTCGTCGTGTCAATAAACAGTCTTCTAAATATAGTTATCGTCGTCCCTTTGTATAAGTGTGGAGATGGCACGGGACTGGGAGCAGGTGGAGAAAAGGCAGATACAACCATTCGAAATACCGCTGCTTTCCTAGCTATGCAGATGCAAAATGACTCACCCACTACGCCATGCCATAAAAGTCAAAGTCCACACAGAAATTTCAAACTAAATCCACCTGTTCACCCTTCCTCCTGGGCTGTAAGTTTGTTAGCATAGTACTTATTCCTACATTTTTTCAAAACATACGTCAAATGCCATTTCATTTATGAAGCCCATGGCTTTATACCTGAGACTGGCTTTATAATCGAATATAAGTCCAAGGGTTTTTGAAAAAGGTGCGGACATACGGTAGTAGTATCTTTCTCACAACACCAATTGTTAGTATCTTACTGGTATTCCTGCCACAAACGATAGGACGCATTGACGTGCATTGGGCGTCCTGTGGCTGTGAATCATCCCCAAGATATTGACTGGAACAATCATCCAAGCGTTGATGGATAGTAACGATGTTGTCAGAAACTTTTAAATTTTTCCCAACATCGCGAAAGTGAAGTTTATCGAGCAATCTTGTGTAGCTGATATGGACTTCCTCCTCTCCAAGTAGTCCCACTAGCATAGCTTTGCAGGCTGTAACTTGAGGAGAACTGACCAGGTGGCTGCCGAGTGTCTGACAGAACTCTTCACCTGCAACCCAGGTTTTGTAGGTATTTGTAACGAACACTTCACCTTTGTCGCCACAATCCACCCACGTGTTCACTGTATTAACACATAGAAAATGTATGAACAGCAATGAACAGAACAGCAATGAATAACAAGGTATGCACACTCCTGTAACAAAACAAAGTAGCAAAGGTTTGGTTCCAGAACGTTTTCTTCCACAAAATAAATGGTACACTCTTGCTAATTGCAAAGGTTTGGTTCCAGAACGTTTTCTTCCACAAAATAAAATGGTATACTCTTGCTACTTTGTTTTGTTACACGAGTGTGTGTGTGTGTGCATGTGTCTGTGTATGTGTGTGTGTATGTGTGTGTGTGTGTGTGTGTCTGCACGTGTGCGTGTGTGTGTGTGTGCGTGCGCGCGCGTGTGTGTGTGTGTGTGCATGTGTGTGTGTGTGTGTGTGCGTGTGTGTGTGTGTATGCGTGTGTGTGTTTGTGTGTGCATGTGTGTGTGTGTGTGTGTGTGTGTGCGCGCGTGCGTGTGTACGTGCGTGCGTGCGTGCGCGCACATGGGTGCACGGCTGTGCATGTGTGCACGTGTGTGCATGTATGTGTGCGTACGTGTGTGCATGTGCTCATTGGGGGTGGTTGTGATTTTTAGCCCCCGTTTTTTGGAACTTGCAGATACATGTACTTGTACATTTCGTGAAGGCCTGAGGTATCCCTCCTTGGGCCGCCTCTAGGCCAGGGGAAGCGCTTGACGGAGGGGCTCACACAGCTGAGCGCCAGGACAGTGTTTTTGTGCCGTCACTTTCAGTTATGACTGACGTCGCTGTTCGCGAAGGTTTGTCAAAGTTTTAAGCTTAACCCTTTGAGGACCGAGGACGAGATAACTCGTCCAAGGAATGGGCGCTGTGTTCCCGAAGATGAGTATACTCGCTCCTCCTGCCAGTGCATACATTTGTACAGTGCATATACACCAGTAAGATTGAAATGAAGAATTTAAACGCGCATTGCCGACGCATCAAAACGCAATCATTGTGGCCACTAGCCACACGTACAACTGTCAGCATGGGCCCTTCCACTTCACCACCAGTACTTCGTAGCCTGAAGTGGCTTAAGTTCTAGCTCTCAGCAAGGCTGCCTATGAGTAAATGGACTAGAACATGTTCGATTTGGTGGACGGATCCAAAACTACCCGATACGATATACACTGACTCTGGCACAACATAGCCCCTACTGTAGGCGACAACCACCTCCGTTGTTTGGAAAAGAAAACGATTTTGCCGGATCAGATTTTACTGAAATGGTGACCAAATAGCTGTCTCGCAAGTTGTAATAAAACTCATGAAGTAGTGGACTCTACAGTGATGAGTCTATCCTGTATGCTGCAAAAGACACAGGAAACGTGACTGTTGTCTGTACACTGGACGCCAACATCCCAGTCTTCTCCTGCACGATCTGTTTGACATTGACATTAGTCCGCGGTCACAACGAGCTCGATTCAGCCGAAAATGTCCTGCAAGCGACTTTCAGGCACGTGGCTGACTCTCAGCCGTTTTTCCGCTTGTTTCAGCCACAGCTTATACAAGCAGCTGAAAGCCAAAATTCAAAGACAAATTTGAGTGTGCTTGCAAGCTTGGAACACACCGCGTAGCGGACATGAGGAACTGATATCGATGCTCTTTCTTGTTTCCGCGCTATGCCTTTGCCTTTGGTTTTGACCGCATGTCGGTCTATGCAACAGTTTAGTTAGATTTTCTCCGATGACCATTGTTAGAAAATTACCCCCACACCGGTCTCAGGCATACCACGGCCAAAACACCACACAGGTCTGGACAAGTAATTATACTAACTGGAAGGTTATTGTTTGTGCTAATACATACGACAGTACAACAAGAGAGAGAACTTTGTTCACAAAACCATCGCCATCGGAACACACCAGAACTACTGTAAAAAAGAGCCAAGAGCAGCATGTATCAGAAAGGAACTGGAGCATGCATGCGTACGACAGCAAGCGCAAACAGCTGCAGAAAAGATGAAACATGACACTACTATTATGACAGCATACATGCATGCGTACAAGAAAGCCGCAACCACAGGATGAATCACGCACATGAATCACATGACAGGCAACAAGAGGTAAGAAGTAATGTCAACTACACAAGACAGAGTCATACAAGAGAAAGTCATAGTTCGATTACACGTTCCCACCAGTTGGCATTACTGGCGGAACCTAGCCGGGGCATTCAGGCCATCACGGCGTCGAAGACGCAGTACTTCCTCAGGCTCTACTGGCTGGTCTTCCGTTGTATCATCGGCACTCACACCATCTGTCGGGTCCGAGACATCAGGCTTGATAAGTGACACGTTGACCGTCTTCATTTGCAGCAAGCCTCCTGCATCTCTCTGAATTCTCACGGTGACAGGGGTCACAGTCTCAGTGACGACCCATCCATCCTCGTATGGCGGGAGCCTCTTCTGCTGGCGCTGTGGGCGTAGCATCATCATACGGTCTCCATGGCTGTACGGGTTCTCGGCCTCGGGGCTGCATGCGTCAGGCCGTGACAGCTCCTCTTCCACCAAGTCGCCTATCTGGTCAAGCACCTTCCGTATCATCGTCAGGAGCGTACGGTTCATCCGCTCTGCTGATCCACGGGAAATAGCACTCAGCTCTCAGCATGTCATGCATAGCCTGCCAGTTGGCATGACCAGAGTTGGCGTGCACAGCACTGACAAGCTGACCTTGTAGCGACTCTGGTTTCACTGGCACAGCAACGCCACCTTCCACAGGCAGCTTCACACTCCGGTACAACATGCCTTTGTCAACCAGTAGCTGTCCGCCGATCTTCTTGTAACACTCCACCGTCACAGGCTCTCCCTTCTCCACTTGGGCAATGGCTTGACGGACATCAGCGCACTGCTGTTGCGCAACACTGACTTGCTCCAAAGTTACAGGTCCAATCACCGTCAGGGCCATGGCAGCTACATCATCCTTCAGCAGGGTCTTAGCATAGTGCGTCCACTTCTGAGGAACGCGAGTTAGCCGGTCGGCCTTGTTGTTAGCTGTCGGAACCCAGATGACTTCCACTTCCGGACCCAATTGTGCCACGGTCTCTTCGATAACCTGCAGATGACGTTGGATAAGCACGCTATGCAACCCACTGGTCTTCACGCGCTTGGAGTCGGTCAGAAGCTGTTGGATCCAACTAGCAACGGTTTTGGAGTCGGTCATCAGCTGGATTCGCCGCGCACCCCACTGGACTGCGAGGTTGAGTCCCTCAGCAGCTGCATCCAGTTCAGACAAGTTGATGTGGCGCTTGTCGTCCATCTTTCTCAGCCAACTGCAATCCTCGATGATACAGCCATTGAACTCCAAGGCCGCGCCATACGCGATATCAGAAGCATCGCACCAGACTTTGCATGGTTCCTCTGCACTTCCGGGACCTTGCCACACACCGCCGACTGGGTCATCGCTGCTGAGGCGCTGGGCTAAATCAATGCAAAACTTCTTGAGCTGGTCAGGCAACGGATCGTCATACTTCAAGCCGAGAAGGCTAGTTAGACGCTTCAACCAGCTACAGTGCACTCGAAGCCAGCTCGCAACTGGGTAGTGGCCCACCAATGCTCCACACCACTTGTACACTGCACGACGTGTCAACACGTCCGGCAACGCGGTTCGGGGCCCATCTCGCCTAGCCCACTTGACCTCACCGCTGTCATCCTTGCTCAACTGCAGGCCAAGAACGCGCGCGGTCGCCGGGTCTTCCGCCGGCTTTGTCGGGAGTCCATACTCTGCCAGCTGCTTGACGACGGCATCCGTCTGCTCCTTACGTACGTATAGATCGTCGATATAGTTGTCGACAGCCGGAAACTGGCGAGTTGAGTACCGAACAATCAAATCCATCAGCTTAGGTGCTACTGACAGACCAAAGCCCATTCTTGTTAGGACATACGTCTGACCTTTCCACTTCACCACCTGGTAGCGCCATAGGTCAGGGCACACACGGACTTGCAAATATGCCTTCCGTATATCAATCAGAGCATATGAATCGGGATCTCCTGCACCGCGCAGGTGCTTCAGCACCAGGGTTGGATACCAGCTCTTTGTTCAAAGCAGTGTAGTCCAAACACGGTCTCACAGGCGTCGTCAACTTGTGCTCTTGTTTGACTGCTAGCAGGGGAAGTACTGCAGCCGGTTCTCCGTGGACCGCTGGATCATGAGGTATGAGCCACCCCTTCTCAATCCATCCGTCTACTACATCACAGAAGGTATTCTCTTGCGATTCCGACAGACCGCTCCGCGAATACTGAGCCACACCGGAGCCAATGAAACCCTCAGGCTCATTTTTGCTTGACCACTTCCACGATATCTCCCAGTGTCGCTCTTCAGCGTTCCAGCACACCGTGCCATCACTGGTGGTAAGCACGACATTGCCTGTGTCGGCGTCCTCTGTGACTTGCACATGCCGAGGGAGCTTAGTCGGTGTAGGTACAGCTCCGACAACGTCAGGTGCGCGTTTACCCGACTTCTCCTGGGCCGGGCCGATCACCACACCAGCTAGCCTTCCGTCATCATATTCCATATGCAGACCCCCACACATTGTCACGAAGTCTGAGCCGATCAGCACGTCAGCCGACACAACGTTCAGGTCAGGAAGCACAACAGCGGACATAGTTGACTCAGGAATTGACACAGGACCATCATCGCACTTGAACTGCAGTTCCACCACGCCACGTGTAGTCAGCTGCTCTCCGTCCAAGGCAACAATTCCTTTGCCCAGACTCTCAGTAACAGGGACACCCAAACTGTCAACAAGTGCTTCGCTAATGAGCGTGCGACAGGAGCCAGTATCGATGATGGCTTGCACGCGCCTCCACACATCCCTGTCAGGTACAGCCACGTCTACAAACACACGAGGCAAACCAGGTCGCGTGGTAGTTACCGTAGCTAGGAGACATGGATCGGCGATCTCCACAGCCGCTCCGGCCACGCCTTTGCCTCTCTTCTGGTCTCGGAGCCATTGCTTTTTGAGCTCACAGTCCTGTTGATAATGACCCGGTTGCTCACAGAAGAAAAATGTAACATTTCGTGGCCCTGATGATTTCTGCTGGCCACCACCGCTGCCTCCACTGCTCTTCATAGCACTGCTGCCGCCACCACGTCCTTCCGGGCAATGTTTCCGTATATGCCCAGGTTCACCACATAATTATATGACAGACAATATGGGACTTCTTCCCACCGGAAGGGCCAGACACCACTGCACCAGCAATACCTGGCCTTGCTGACACAACCTTGCGCAGTGCTCTCAACTTCTCCACACAGTCGGACACGCGTAAGTCTTTCCCAGCACTTGACAGGCGGATCTCCTTGGCAAAATCAAAAGGGAGACCAGCCAGCAGCTGCTCAATAACGACAGAATCGTCATCACCTGTCAGCTTGTGACCTGATGCAGCCAGCAGCCGCTGCAAATCAGACACGTACGCGTCAGGACTTTCATCAGAAAGGAACCGGCGGGACGTAAATTTGTCGTACGCATCACTTCCTGTCACGCCGAACGACTTTTGCAGCAAAGCGGACACCTTATCCTCGTCCTTCTTATCCGCAGCCTCCATTCTACTAAACACGAGCAGCGCATCTCCTTCCAAAAACAGAGGAAGTCTCTGCATGCGCTTATCAGCCGTGTCCCAACCGTTCACCTCCGACAGCACAGAGCACTTCAACCAAAAGTCATCAAAGCTGTCACCTGCCTTCCCACCGAAGGACTTCATCAAGCCGTCCAGCTTCAGGCCAGACATGGCTTCAGGTTCAGAAGCAACGCCAACTGCTTCACTGTCCGATACAGGCAAGGCCTCAACCTCTCCTTGTCTCGCTCTCTGTCTCGTACGACGACGACGAGGCATACACTAAAACTGACGTCTACGCACAAACAATTCCCGGGTTTCGGCACCACGCTGTTAGAAAATTACCCCCACAACCGGTCTCAGGCATACCACATCCAAAACACCACACAGGTCTGGACAAGTAATTATACTAACTGGAAGGTTATTGTTTGTGCTAATACATACGACAGTACAACAAGAGAGAGAACTTTGTTCACAAAACCATCGCCATCGGAACACACCAGAACTACTGTAAAAAAGAGCCAAGAGCAGCATGTATCAGAAAGGAACTGGAGCATGCATGCGTACGACAGCAAGCGCAAACAGCTGCAGAAAAGATGAAACATGACACTACTATTATGACAGCATACATGCATGCGTACAAGAAAGCCGCAACCACAGGATGAATCACGCACATGAATCACATGACAGGCAACAAGAGGTAAGAAGTAATGTCAACTACACAAGACAGAGTCATACAAGAGAAAGTCATAGTTCGATTACACCATGGATTCCTGGACTGTGCCTCTAGAGCGTAGCGTTTTACAAGACAAGGCACCAAACTCACGACTGAATTCATGAAGAACTTGAGCCGGGTACGAAGAAAAGAGTGGATTGCGACGGAGTTGAAGAACAGCAACCGTCGGAGCAGAAAGCTCAACATCAGGAAACAGCACTCTGATCATCGCGCCCATGTACATGCACGCAGGAAAAATAAAAAGAGCAAGACTTTACAATTCAGGATCCGGGCTTACTTTGCTTCTTCCTCAAAATTGAACACTACAACAAGTACAGTTGTAATTGTAGATCGCCACGGTTCTGCTTCCCGGTTTTTTTCCAAACTGTTTTTCGAGATATTCAAAATTTGGCGGGCAAGAAAAATAAGCCATTCGAGCTTTGCACTAAGTAAAAGTCTGGTGTGACCGCGCGGCAGGGAGCAAACCAGCTGAGCGCCAGCGATAACAAGCCCAAAGTGGCTTGTTTCGGATAATGTCCACCCACTGCATACTGTCAATGTGAAACAGATCCTGCAGGAGAAGATTGGGATGTTGGCGTCCAGTGTACAGACACCAGTCACGTTTCCTGCGTCTTTTGCAGCATACAGGATAGACTCATCACTGTAGAGTCCACTACTTCATGAGTTTTATTTGTACAATACATGACAGGCATACACGGTGTGCCTCGTAGGACTGCGAGATGCAGCAAAAAAAAGACCAGGTTCAACCTTTCTGGACAGCCATTCACCGACGGTGGGCTACACGATGCTGGAGGAACTAGATTCCAGTGAAAACCCAAGATTCCTTTGCTCCTGGACGCTCCGACGTGTTGTGATATCTGCCAGGTGCGCAGTAATAAGTTTTTCATCATTATCGAAGACCATGCCGATCGGCAAAATCTTGCTCACAGCCATCACCAGCCTACCAAAACCATCACTTGGCATCCCCCAGAGGTATCAGAGAAAGCCACAACAGCTCACAACAAACAAAAGCTAAGGACGATGGAAAGAGAGCATGTCAAAAAGAAGACGAACACATAGTATGAGCACGAATGATTTCGAACACTCGTACCACCAACTATACCACTTTCAATAAACTGTGGCGCCATTTTGTTTTAACATTATTCCCAATCAAACATGGTTGAATAAGCGGTCACATGCTCATGAGTACACTGTGCCTGCAGGGTACAACTTACAGTCTGTGAAGCCTAGTTCACATTCGACGCAACGCCGACGGTACGGGACGTAAGGGCCTGTCGGGAAGCCTGGGGTGAGCTGCAAAACCGTGTACGATTTGTACGACACAACATGCTGCAGTTGTTGCGTCGTTCAACAGCGAACGGCGACAGTCATAAGGCACGGTCCGTGACGGGGTGACTTTCGGACCTAATTTCTTGTTTTTCGGATCTTCTTTTCAATTATTTCTCCTTCAATGAAGCGGAATCAAGTTCACAATACCAGGTTTTCATGAAGACCAAAAAGTAGCTTCGAAAGGTGTGCCATTCAAATAATAGCTCCAGGAAATGATGAAAAAATTCGTCTGTCACGCTCCTGAACTATCTCTAAATTCCATAAGTGACATCAGACCTTACCTTGCTAAAATTCAACTCAAGTCGTGTTAGCCATTCTGCGAGTTATCATGGGAAGCGCAGTGTTCGAAATGCTAAATGTCCAAGTACAAATCGGGAGTAGTCGGCGCACGCCGCCGTCTCCTGTTCACACTCAAAATGCAACTGTTTTGTACGCTTGCATCCCCGTCTACGCCCGTCTAAGGTATAAAAAGTTCGATCGATCAACTCTTCCCGTCGCTTCCCGATCCGTACGGCAGTACGGTTGCGTTCCCGTTCCTGGCGTTCACATTGGACGCCGTCAGACTGTCCCGTCGCTTCCCGTTGCGCCCCGTCGAATGTGAACTAGGCTTTAGAGCGCGTTCCTGTCACTCGAGTTGAACCTTTGAACCCTTGAACCTTTGAACCCTTGAACCTTTGAGTTGAACCTTGGTGTGAAAGTTGTAGCCTGCATGTACAGTGATCAGATGACTGGGGTACGCATGAGCATGTGACTGCTTATTCTACCATGTTCGATTGGGAATAAGGGCCAAACGCTGCATCGTAGCCTTCTCAGACCAAAACCAGTCGACTCAGCGTGCAAAAGACTACAACATATGGGCCAATCGCGGCCATCCGTGCTTTCGTAAGAACGAAATGACCGCTTTTAGTGACATTTTGCATACAAATCCCCATCTACAGTGCTGGCAACTGAAACCCGACCCCCTAGCGTCTCCTACAAATCGCTAACGCGGCTAGCGCACCGCCCGGGGGTTCGGATTTCAGTTGCCAGCACTGTAGTAGGGCGCAGTCAGCCAGTTTCAGTGGGAGTGGCGAGTTCGATTGGGAACAAAGGAGGAAGGGCGCGTCTCAGCTTCCTCGGACCAAGACCATTCGACTCAGCACCCCGAACTGCGGAGACTCCCTCGATTTCGCTATTATAAGGCCTGTGGAGAATCCATAAAAAAATTAATACAAATACAAAACTGATGAAAATTAGATTTTAGGCTTCCCCTTTAATACCAGATATTTTCTTACCATTCGTGGCCGTACACGTCCCAGCATATAACACGAACAACAGCAGCTGAATCAGAACTTTTGCCGACGTGTCGAAACGCCATCGTTGCTGGCCACTAGTGACACTTAGCATTCTGACTTTTCCACGTCACCACCAATACTTCGTAGCCTGAAGTGGCTGTAGTTCTAGCTCTCAGCAAGGCTGCCTATGAGTCAATCGACTAGAACATGTTCGATTTGGTGGACGGATCCAAAACTACCTGATACGATTATACACTCACTCTTGCACTACATAGCCCCTACTGTAGGCGACAACCACCTCAGTGGTTTGGAAAAGAAAAATATTTTGCCGGATCAGATTTTACTCAAAGGGTGACCAAATAGCTGTGTCACTAGTAACTGTTGTTCGTCTTGGCCCTGTCACTGTGTCAGGCCTTCTCCTCTACACTACTCTGTAGAGACTGTACTCTCTATCGTTCAGGATGAGAAAATGCTCACTGGTCCTGCCAAACAATCCACACGAAGTGTAACATTTATTTTGTTGTGTCTGAACGTGGTCTACATGACAGTACAAACAGCTAAAGCAGAACAAACTTGCAGTCCACTGTTTGAGAGTTGCTTGTGGTTCGCCCAACTCAGTCACTGTTCGCCCCTCTCAGTCTCAGTCCCAGTGTTGCATGCAGTCACGCATTCAACAGAACAGTAGCCTGTGTAGACTTTACGTGTACTGGTGTAGACATGGTGCCAGTGGCAGTTGTGGGCTAGACTGCATGCAGTTCTGTCTCTGGAGTAGATCATAGAGCTACGGGCCACAGCTGCTTGTGAGTCGTCGACACATCAGGAGCAATCTGTGACGCGCATATGCCGTTCCTTTGATCCTCTGTTTTAGTCCATCGGCCAAATCTCAGAAAAGCCCTCTTTCGGAGAAGGTGGTGCACTGAAGCTCCAAGTAAACGCCCTTTGGCACACTAGCTCATGAGACCCCATAGAATACGAATCCGATAGTTGGACGTTGCCAATCCAGTCCAGGATAGTCGAACTGGGTCGAATACCTTCTTCCGGTTTTCGTAATTTCGTCCACCATTACATCTTTCTCATCGACTTTTTGGCGTGGCGAATGTTCTTGACCCGCTGAGCAAAATCTGCGCACACTCGAACACTTGAAATGCCTGCATGTTGACGGTTCGCAAGATTCGAGCGAGCTTGGTGGAATCTATTATTTATTTGGTCATTTTGGGAAATCTGAATTAGAACGGTAGAAGCTCATTCGGAGAAGACGGCGTGTCGCCGCTGTCGGATTGTCGATACTGTGTTTCAGACGTATTTGCTTGAACGTGCTATTGAGGATGGACAGAAGATGAATTGACGGCATTCTTGAACACCGACGTTTTGTCTACATTGTAGGTGAAACATCTCATCTGGCGTCTAGAACGCAATTATTATGAGTTGTGAGTGCCAGCTGTACACCATTCGTCAGCTGGGAATTTGCATCGAAGCTCTTGATAGCCACTGTGACATATTCCACCAGCATTGAGTAAGTGCTTATACTCACATTTCCATTCACACCTTATTCCCACACTTACATCATCTACATTTGCATTGTGTTACTTATCACCTATGCTCTCCCCCTATATATACCATGCTATCTACTCCCATTGAGTATCTATTCCTCAGCTCAAAAAGCTGTTAAAGGGGAAGTTAAGGCAAAAATTAAAATTTCACCAGTTGTAGTCTTCGGGGTGCGGAGTCGAATGGTCGTGGTCCGAGGAAGCTGAGACGCTCCCTTCCTACTTGAATCCCAATCGAACTCGCGCACTTCCACCGAAACTGGGTGACTGCGCCCTACTAGATGGGGATTTGTATGCAAAATGTCACTAAAAGCGCCATTTCGTTCTTATAAAAGTATGGATGACCGCGATTGGCCCATATGTTGTAGTCTTTTGGACGCTGAGTCGATTGGTTTTGGTCCGAAAAGGTTACGATGCAGCGTTCCTCCTTTATTCCCAATCGAACATGGTTGAAGAAGCGGTCACGTGCTCCTGCGTACACCAGTCACCTGGTCACCGTGCCTGCAGGGTACAACTTACTAGCCTGTTTGACCTTTTTTGGGTGCAATCCTGTCACTCGAGTTGAACTCGAGTTGAACCTTGGTGTGAAAGTTCTCGCCTGCTGGCGTGGTGATCAGGTGATTTGGGCACCCAGGAGCACGTGACCGCTTGTTCAACCATGTTCGATTGGGAATAAAGGAGGAACGCTGCATCGCAGCCTTTTCGGACCAAAACCAGTCGACTCAGCGTCCAAAAGACTACAACACATGGGCCAATCGCGGTCATCCGTGCTTTTATAAGAACGAAATGGCGCTTTTAGTGACATTTTGCATACAAATCCCCATCTAGTAGGGCGCAGTCACCCAGTTTCGGTGGAAGTGCGCGAGTTCGATTGGGATTCAAGTAGGAAGGGAGCGTCTCAGCTTCCTCGGACCAAGACCATTCGACTCAGCACCCCGAAGACTACAACTGGTGAAATTTTAATTTTTGCCTTAACTTCCCCTTTAAATGGTGTCAGAAGTGGGATTCGAACCCACGCCTACATAAGTAGAAATGTGTTTCGCTCCTGCTCTTGTAGCACTTGAGCACTCTTGCGTGGGGTAGTGCCTTTGCTGTTTGCGTTATGCAGAGCTCACTGACTTGTCAGTTTGAGCACTCTGGCAAGGTACGTTCGGGCCTGATTGGAAATTTTTATTTCCATTGCTATCAGGTTCGGCCTCATTTCTCTGTGCTGCGCTGATGAGTTCAAAAAGAACGAAACAGCATGCTGTCCGCAGATTGAGTAAGTAGAAATGTGAGTACATGTATATGCACTAACTCAATGCTGGTGGAATATGTCACATCTTTCCTTTCCCTAATGATTAGTAGTGTTACATGGTGTCAGAAGTCGGATGCTGCAGATTCTGCAAATTCAAGGACCATGGAGCAGCTCAAGCCGCCAGAACAGCTCCTGATCAACAGTCCCAACAAGGCGGACGCGTGGAGGCGGTTCAAAAAGGCGTTTGAATTTTATTCAATTGCCTCTGGACTCAAGGACAAGGATGGCGCTATCCAAGCCGCGGTATTCCTCCATATCATGGGAGAAGATAGTCAGAAAGTGTACCAAACATTGCAGTTTGACACAGAGGAGGACAAGAAGGACATCGACAAGCTGAAGGAGAAATTCGAAGAGTTCTGCGTCCCGAAAGCAAATGCAACAATGGAACGATACTTATTGTTCACCCGGAAACAGCAAGAAAATGAAGTAATTGACTCGTATACCATGGAGCTCCGTAGAATAGCGGAGAGGTGCGAGTTTCCAGGTACGAAGGACAGCATCTTACGGGATTGCATCATTCTGGGTGTGCGGGATGACGGACTCCGCAAGGAACTTCTTCGACGAGACGAGAGTCTAGAGAAAGTGCTGTCCTCCTGCAGATGCAGAGAAGCTGCTCAACGACATATTATACATTTGACCCACAAAAGAGGTTGGTTTAAAAACAGACAAACGTGACATTGACACTGAATGGTCACAGAAGAAAATACAAGCTAGACCTTCAGTGAAATTCTGCGGATACTGTGGGGGAACACATCCTCCAAGGCAGTGTCCGGCGTACGGTAAAACATGCACAAAGTGTAGCAAGGTCGGTCACTTTGCTAAGGTGTGCAGAAGTCAGCAAAAATCACCAGCAGTCACAGCAATGGAGCAGACAGCAGTGCAAGCGGAAGACGTTCAGACCCGGTCGTTTGGAACGATCCTGGTCAGTGAACTATCAGCAGACAGATGGAAGGAGACCATTCTCCTCGATCAACGACCAACGTTGTTCAAGCTAGACACCGGTGCAGTGGCATCCGTATTGCCATTTTCAGTCTTCAGGAGAATAGGGCCAGACCAGCAGCTTGACACAACTACTACCATTCTCTCTGGTTTTGATCAGAGCACGGTTCGACCAGAGGGAACGGCCACTATCAAGACAACTTACCAAGACAAAAGCATACCAGTTACGAATTATGTCAGCCGGAAAGTACCCTGCCCGATTCTTGGGCAGAATGAATGTGAAGCTCTACACCTCGTTCAACGCATAATATTCCAATCAAGCTCGAAAGCTGTGAGAAAGTCATCGAGCAATACCAGGACGTAGAGGCCGTAGTTGGAGAGTTTGAAGTGAGGTACCCTGTAAAATGATTCCTAGTTGATTCTGGCGCGTTTGTTCGGTCACGTGATTCCTGCCGATTCCCATTCCAGAATGGTTGTCATTTATATTCTGAAAATGCCCAACCAAACGCAACCTACCTGGTAAGTGTCGAGCAGAAGGTGTACTGGCAGTTTATGCCTGTCTTATTAGTCTAGACATACTGATATGGTATGTTGACGGTGTCCAAAACAGCTCTTCCCAGCTATGCGTCGACCACGCTGCACGGTGCACTGGTGTGGGAGAGTGAGCAAGCCTGGTCAGCTGCTCCCTTCAAATAAGAGAAGTACAAGCGCAGTATACAACATGTATATTGAGAAATTATTTCAATAGCGGAACTTGCCATGTACATGTACATGTCATGTACATATCTGCTGTCTGAGAATTTAAAATAAGTCCATGACAGAAGACAGTCTCTTGTACTGCGGGAATAACGTCGTCTCCTGTGAGTGCGTCCATTGCCTTTGACTCTAGGGCTCTGAATCCGACACTGTGAACACTCTATTTCAGGTGACCGAACTGCATGGCCATGAGGCTGCATGACTCTGCCCCGCTGTACATGGCATTGCATACATGTACATTTGTGTACACAGTCTACCCAATGCTGTAGACAGCAATCTGATTCGGCCATAAACTAAAGCCAGTAAAGGCCTCATCACCGACATCAGTACAGCTACGAGGGTTTGTGAGCATAAACAAAGCAGGGCTCCATTTGAGCCATCCTGACTGCACCGCTAGCTGTATACATATACAATGTATTCTGAATAACAATCCATTTGACTCGTTTTGAGATGTCCTGTCTTCCTCTTATTGCCCGCGTGTGCCGTTATGTAAAAAGGTATGCAAACAATACTGCAATGGCAATGATCTAAACAACAGACTGCTGTCTGCCACTCTATTACTATATTGGTATTAGTACTTTACACTACATGTACAAGTTGATGTATGTGAATGCCTGCCGGCAAAGGACGGAAGCCATGGAGACACACGTGCCCTACAGCAGGATGCTGTTCTCTGTAATTACTACCGGTATGTGTACGTGCACATGTACATCTATGTGGTCTGTAGTTAGGTACGATGCCAGGAAATACATCCGGTCATCGTCCAAATCATGTCAATACACTGACTCAGGCCTGCACCTCAGCCCCTCACTCTCAGGCTCGGGCTAGTCTTGCCTGTGAGCAGGCATCCCCCTTCATTTGCACGAGCCTGCCAGCGTACGTGTCTATTCTCGGAAGTGAAACACAATCGGAAAAGTAACTGGTTTTTTTAGGAAACAATGGGGATAATTATTATAATGTGGCCACAGAAACCTAGCCTGGGTTTTTTTCTCAAGTATG